AGTGACTTGCAGAACTCTCTAAGTGGGGAACAGGAGAGGGCCTCGGAGACATATGAACTCCTGAAGCAGGAGAGAGCTGCAGTATCAGATTTGAACTCCGAGCTTTATGAAAGCAAACAAGAGAATGAAAGACTACAAAAATCCCTGCAAGAGCTTCAGAGGGAAATAAAGCAGCTTCGGTAAGGAGTAGCTTTTTGAGAGCTACATTAACAATGGGTAATTCTTTTGCGTTTGTTAAATCCAGAAATGGGTTGGAACTTGCTGACATACAAGGGGAGTGAAGGAATGTTAACTTCTGTCAATCTGCACAGAAGTAGAGTTTAAGGACATTTACTTTGAATATTTACTGGCTGCTAATTGTTTGCTGATTTTTTTTTTTTCCCACAATGGTGCTAACTTGAGAATTTGACTGACAAGGGTGGGAGTTTCACTTGATGATGCACATTGGATTGGCACAGTGATGTAAATTGGTGAAACTAGAATTCCTTCCAAGCCCTGAACTTGCATGCCTGCTACCTGACCTTTCATACTACTTCCAGTTCTTGCTCATTCCTTCCCCAATGTCCCTGGTTTGTCTCATACAGAAAGTCTACGCTGCACGGCTACTTCGGGATACTGAAGGCATCCCAAAATAACTACCCACGTCTACACAAACCACCCGTTATTTCAAAATAGTTTTCAAAATAACGGGAGCCTTATTTTGGCATCCTGGTAGCCCTTGTTCCATGAGAGTTAAGGGATGTCTTCCCCTCTCCTATTTTTTTGGGCCTGCACATCCTAAACTCATAACTCTGGTCATCTGAAGAAGTGGGCTGTGCCCATGAAAGCTCATGACACCATCTACATGTTTTGTTAGTCTATAACGTGCTACTAGACCATTTGTTGTTTTTTTTTTTCTGTAACGGACTAACTCAGCTACCCCCTGAAGCTTCGAAATAGTATGTTGATTCAAAATTTGGTGCTTTGTAGACCGCCTCAAATTTCAAAATAAGCTATTTCAAAATACAGTGAAACCTTTATTATCTGGCACTCTGTTAGCCAGAAAACTTTAGCTGGCATTGCCCCCAGCCACAATACTGTCACGTTTTCAGGTGCAACAGGCCTGCCTTGGTTTACCATGACTGGCTTAACAATTTTTTTTATTTAAGAAGTACTAATCATCTTTAACTCAAAATAGAAACGTGAGACCAACTGCCTCACACTACAAAACTACTAGTATTAAAAACTTGATTTTACTATTATTGTCCATTGTTTTTTCATAGGTTTATGGGGACCCTCAGATAAGTAGAAATTTTAGATAACTGGAAAGCCCTAATCGCCAGCCGTGTCCGATAACACAGGTTTTACTGTGGATTCAAAATAAGATACGCAATTTGCATAGCACAAATTGCGTATCTTATTTCAAGTTAGAGTTCTGTGTACCCATAGAGCCAGGCAACTTCCATTGCCTATGTTAGTGACCTGGTCATCACTTCTTGGCCGTTTTTTTTCTCCCCTGTAGTTCTAGTGCACACTAGTGGATTTTTTCCCTCCCATATAGCACTGAGGTTGTTCTGCCACGAAGAACAGTAGTAGCTTATCCTATTTGTCAACAGCTGCTAAATGGGGTATGATTTGTTAGTTATGCTGGGGATAGCTGACTGCTCCCTTTTTAGAAGTTAACATAGGAAGGCAGTCAAATTTATAGGCACAGGTAAAGAGCATACGTTTAAAATGAAGAACAGATAGAGGTCCAACTAACAAAATTATAAAATATATCCCACTTGTGAGTAGAGTGGCAAAGTGACTTAATTGCTCCTGTTCCAGTGGAAAGAAAGGTTAAAAAGAACAAATAAATTCTTTGTAAAGCAATAATATGTAAAAACAAGAAAGGATGGTCCGTTCTGAACTAAGAGAAGTGTCATTTGTAATTCTGCTGAATGTTGCAGTTCTGAACTGGAAAATAAAGACAAAGATCTGACAGTTGCACTCCAAGACCTACAGGATGAACATTTAAAAGAAAAAGAGTTACAGAATATGTTTGAAGAACAACACCTTCAGCATAAGCTAAGAGAAGATGAAAAGACCAAAGCATTAGAGGTAACATTCTGCGTGTTAATGAGATCTTCAGAGTTAACTTCATAAGTAGACTGACTTGCATTAACAACGTTCCTGTTCCACTTCATTCCCCGCCACCCGGTTTTCCCCCTATTTTTCATCTCCAATAATGCTTTTCTCTCTTGTTTGTTGAATCCAAGTGATTCTGAAGGACTTGCTCAAAACTGAAACCTAATCCTTGATTTTTACCAAACATAATGTCTGAATTTCCTGTGAGACAATTAATTTACCAGTTTTTTCCCCTCTAAAATCTCATGCTAATTAATGGAAGTACACAGGAATTTCTGTGCTGCAATTGAAAACCCATGGTGGGCCTATGCCAGGTAGTTTAGGCTCACAGACCTTGGGCTGCAGGGCTGTTGAACATGGTCTGCACTGTAGTCGGGCAGCCTGAATCCCATGAACCTGAATCAGTTGGCAGGGTGAGCCGCGTGTTTCTAATTGCAGTGTAGACCTAGCCTGTGTCACATACTTTAGGTACTAGAAAGATCCTTGTGTATTATTGAGATTGCTTCTTGTACTCAGATTTATTTTCAGATTTTATAAAGGACCTCTTTTTCCCCCCCAAAAAAAGTTGTAAGTACCCCCAGTACCTACAGTTTTCAGACACACACAATTTTTTCCTACCATTGCAACACATATGTTTAAACAATTTAATCATAGCCGGGTGGGTAATGAAATTTTTGGGTGTAAAAAGTACAAAAATAGTGTTGTAAAACTTAAAACAAAAGTTCAGTTTTCTCCAAATTTCAGTTGTTGATGTACCCTCCCCAGACTTCTCTCGAGTACCCTTAAGGGTTCTCGTACCACTGGTTGAGAAACTGCATTAAACTGTGCAAAGGTGAAAGTTACAAATTAGCAGAATTTCCTGTGCCTTCTGTAGTATAGTCTTTTTCTTCTAGATCAGTAGCAACATCTTCTGTTGATCTTAAACATGTGCCTATTAGGCAAATTGGCAAGGCTACTACTTGAGAGTCAGATTACATATTCACTAAACAGTATGCTCTGAATGTAGCTTCTAGATTTACTGCCAAATCTGGCAGAGTAGTGGTTATTTAATTAGGACTTTGTTCCATCTCCTGGGTTTTCAGCACTGCTTGTCAAACTACCTATAAGTGGGAATATCCAGAGTCATTCAAAGAAGAAATGAAGGTTATTTTCTTGTAACAAAGATGACTGTATATTTACACTTCCTACTCACCTTCCCCTCTTTCTCAGAGTGCCTCTATAGTCTCTTTGGGTTAGCAGTGGAAGAAACTGAGGAAGTTGAGGGCACAGCATCCCCTTACATAGTCTCACCCTTGGAACATTCAAAAATACTGAGGAGGTGTTTTACTATTAGGGACTGCCAGGCAGCACAATCCTCATAAATGGGAATATGTAAAGCCACTCATAAAAATGGCCATACTGGGTCAGACCAACGATCCATCCAGCCCAGTATCCTGTCTGCTGACAGTGGCCAATACGAGATGCCCCAGAGGGAGGGAGCACAACAGGTAATCCTCACATGATCTTTCCCCTGTCACCCATCTCCAGAGAAACAGAGGCGAGGGACACAATTCCTACCTGTCTTGGCTAATAGTCATTGATGGACCTAACCTCCATGAATCTATCTAGCTCTTTTTTGGACCCTGTTAAAGTCCTAGCCTTCACCACATCCACTGGCAAGGAGTTCCACAGGTTGGCTATGTGCTGAGTGAAGAAAAACTTCCTTTTGTTTGTTTTAAACCTGCTGCTTATTAATTTCATTTGGTGACCTCTAGTTCTTATATTGTGGGAATAAGTAAATAACTTTTCCTTATTCACTTTTTCCACACCAGTCATCAAACAACTCTTATTACAAGTAACCTTCGTGTTTTAAAAATAAAGCATTCACATGGAAATAATAGTCCATAACTTCTCCTTGTTTCTAATAAGTGACTGAAAGAATTGTCAAAGTTAGAGCAGAGGCATTCCACTACTGTTTGTGTCCCATTGACATTAAAGTATCTAGTTTATAATGGTATTTTCTTGGTATTACTAGTCACAACTTGTTGAGCTATAAAAGTCGGCACTTGTCTGTAATTTAGTTACTTCTCCTTCCCCAGTTAACAGGAATTATTGCTTGTTAATTGCTACTGCAAAATATTCTTCATCCTTTTCTGTAAGAAATATTTGTCTTATATGTATGTATAAGTACAGATTTACTTATTTCTATAAGCTGATCTCAAACAAATTAGAAAAACCCAGGAAGCATGCCTCAAAAACAGTACCGATTTTTCTTTGCAAGACCACTTACTTACGTAGAGAGCTTGTATGTTTTTAATTCCCCCTGGTCTTGAGTTTCCTTTTGGACCTGCCTCTTTCTTTACATTGTCTTTGGATTTTTTTCTTTTTCTGCCATGGGAATAGATCTGGGGTTGTCGGTATCATCCTAAAATCTCAAGAAAAGATTTTGGCCAATACAAAAGAACAAAGCTACCCTGATCTTAATTTCCCCACTCTTCTGCAGGCAGGGAATGAGAGCTGCACTAAGACGTTGTAAAGTATATTTAACATTTTCGGAGTGCTTAATGACCAGAGTATTTGCTTTATTCACTTGCATCCCCTATTAGTAGAGCCTCATGTGCGGTGTTACATTTTTTTAAAATCTTCCATATGAAGATCAACCCAGCCTATTTCTACTGCAGATGTCACTTAGACAATCTGATTGGCTAATGTAGAAACTGTGACACATTAAAATGTCTTCAGATGCCTATGTTTTCATTTTATAACCGTTTAGTATGTATTGGAAAAAGTGTGTGATGATCCTCAAGTTAGTGAGTTGGCAGGGCCTGCAAATAAGTATTTGTTATGATGTTAATATGTGTACCGTCTCTCAAATAGGACTTGCAGGCTGCCTTGGAATTGCATAGCATACAAAATAAGAAAATGTCAGTGGCCTTAGAGCATGAAAAATCAGCAAATGATAATCTCCGTAAGGAACTTCAAATCGAACATTCTCGATGTGAGGCTTTACTGTCCCAAGAACGAAATAAACTGACAGAACTACAGAGAAATTTGGAGGTTGAGAAGAATCACTCGTTGGAGCTTTTGAATGCGTTGAACCATGAACGTGTTTTGACAGAACAACTGAGCATGAGAGTAAATGAAGGTGCTTCCTGTAAGCATAAAGAATCATTGCTGGAACAAACCTTTGTGCAAGAACTGCAGGCTCAGTTGGATGCAGAGAGATCCCGTGCTATGGAGCTAGCTGCTATAATTGAGAAAACGCACCAGCAAGCTATTCAGTCTAAGAGGCAGTTAGAAGCTGAGGTGCAAATGCGTTGTGAAGAAACACAAAAGGAAAGAGAAGTCAGTACCAAGTTACGAGCTGCACTGGAATCTCTTCAGAGTCAAAAACAGGAGGTATTCCATTCCTTGGAGTTAAAGAGGGAGAGAGAGGCAATTAAAAAGGGAGAAAGAGGCAAAACTGAAAGCAGATTGTGAAGAATTGCACACACTTTTCAGGACAACGAAAGAACAGGAGAAAATGAAGAAAGAAGAAAAGCAAAAAGAGAGACATCAAGAGCAAAGAGCAGAATTTGAGAAACGGAAGGAATGGCAGAAAGACAGAGAGAGACTGGTGAGATTTTCAACTTCAATACTGCAATTATATAATAGCCAGATAATTTTGCTTTCCTATATGACAATATGTAGAATACATTATCCTGGCTTGTGTCAAGCCCTTCATTTGTGGAACTGATTGGAAAACTTTTGATGGAACGGTTTTCTATCCGAGAATGCAGTTCTGTTGAAATCAAAATGCTTTGTGAAATAGTGTTGATTTTCACTAAAAGTTTGTTTTCCAGAAAAACGAAGTCCTAGCAGTTTCCCATTCTGACCTTGCCAAACATTTCATTTAGATGTTTCTCTTTGAAGCAAATTTATTTTTTAATTTTTATTGTAGTATAAAATAAAAGTTGAAATCAAAATGAAAGGTGTTGATTTGGTTGAAATGAAACATTTTTATTCAAAATTAATTTCTGAGATTTTTCTTTTGTCAAGAATTTTGAAGTGTTTGGGCTTTGCTCCAAATCAGAATAAAAACAAACTTCTGAACCTCAGAATCCTCAGTGAAATGGAATTTCCATTTCTTCAAGTGATTCCTCGGGTCCTTTCCAATAGCTGTATGTGTGCCATATAAACAGTTGTTGGAAAGTTTTGCCCCTAGTGGTACCTGTTGGGCTGGCTGTGGAGCCCCGTGGAGTGGCACCTGCATGGTGTAGAATAAAGGGCTCAGCCAGCCTTCTTCCCTCTCAGTTCTTCCTTACTGTCTGACTGTTGTTGGAGAACTTGTGCTCTTGCTCTGCAGGACAATCCTAGATGGGTTTCCTACCAATTCTTCTTCAAGTGATGTCCCCGTCGGTGCTCCACTGTAGGTATTGGGTCAGCCTGGTGCCACAGATTGCAGTTTTGAGCAGCAGTACTCAGCAGGACCATGCAGGCGCAGCAGGTGCCTCGTGGCGTTCGCACCATTTTGCATGCGCATGCAGTCCAGCTCCCACCATTTCCTTCGTTGCCACTCTTGGTGGAAGACGGAGCAAGCTCTTCTCTTCAGCTGTTCTAATAAGGAAAAAAAAGAGAGAGAGTTCTTAGTTGTTAAATGCTTAGTTCAGTTTCTAGTTGCAGCTTATTCTTAAGAAGTTTATAATTCTTTAAAAAAAATTATTTTTTTCCTTCATTATTATTGGTTTTCCTCAGGACCTTTTAAAAAAAAATCTATTTTAAGGAATCAACTCAGGGGAATACCTAATAAGCAGGGCTCAACAAACTATAGAATCTACTCACCCGTGGAGAGTAGATTTCAGCCACGCGCCCCCTCTACCGGCGGCGTGCGTATGCGCAATGTGGGGCTGGCGAGCGGCTTTCACCACCTTTTGTTAAGCCCTGATAATAAGGATACCCCTTACAATGCCTGGCTCACCAGGGTTTAAAAAAAGGTGACACTTGTCGCGAACCCATTCCAGCCTGCAATGCCATTCTTCTTGCATTTGCTGCCTGGACAAGGCACATGTGCCTCAGAAAAGCCCACACTGCTGAAAACTAATAGCAAGTGCACGCCGCAACAGAGAAATGCGTCTATGTATGATCTTGTTGGATAAAGGGCTCCAGTCATCAGACTCTCCATCTGTGGCTCACTCAGACCTCACTACTGCCCAAAAATGGAGGGTATCTTCCCCTGATCAGGGTCTGCGCAAAGTAAACGGGCTTCACCGGTGTGCTCCTTTCTGCCGGTCCCAACAAGCAGAGTCAGCACGGGAGACAAGCCCGGGATGTCCAGCAAGTCCCCTTCACACTCGAAGGCGGTTCTGGACCCGAAAGCCTGACAATAGGCATTGTTGGTGCTGACATCATGAACATCACTTGCACCAAAGGTTACTTTAGCACTGGCAGCCCCATCCTCCAAGGCCTCAGCACCTACATCGGCACCAGCCCCAATGGCACTGGCAGGACCCACTGTGCCAGAGTCGATACCGCAATCTTCTAGCCTGGTACCGGAGATGCATGATCGACTCTCGGCACCGAAAAAGGCTCCCACAAAATCTAATAGGCACTGGAGCTCTAGTCCAGTGTCTCCGACCTTCTCACTGGCACTGTCGCCCTCGCCGTCAGCAGAGGTTACCAGTACTGCATCTTTTTGCAGCCAGGCATGATGTCCCATCATATAGGAGACAATGCAGATTCCTGTCTCCACTACCTGCGGCTCTGCAGAGGGAGTTTCATCATCACGCCCATCTGAGCCACACGTCTCTCTCTCCACTCCCCTCCTCTAAGGGCTCAGTGATACTCCCTCATTCTCCAGCGTTGTCTCCACATGCAATATACTGGGAAGGACATATGAGTGTGCTTTCTTTGAGACACTCATCACCCAGGTAGAATAGTGATAGAAATGTAGCCGTGTTAGTCTGGTGTAGCTGAAACAAAATACAGGACTATGTAGCACTTTAAAGACTAACAAGATGGTTTATTAGATGAAGAGCTTTCATGGGCCAAACCCAAAGGACTGAAAGTGAACAATCCATTAAGATCAACATACTATACTGACTCTTTTTCATATGTGTTCATTTTTTAATTGTATCCTTTGGTATATATGGTTGTGACAATTTTCTTCCACTATTTGATCTGAGGAAGTGGGTCTGGCCCACAAAAGCTCATCATCTAATAAACCATCTTGTTAGTCTTTAAAGTGCTACATAATCCTGTATTTTGTATCACCCAGGTAGTCACGCTATTATTGGTCCACTGTCTACCACCACCATCAGCCTCCACATCCTAGACACTGGTCACTCTGCTGCTACAGATCTTCACCTGCACATAGATACCCTTCTGCTTCAGCACCTCCTTGCAACCAACATCCATCCCACCACTTCAGAGTTCTTCCCCTCAAACACACCGTTTGGAGCCTGAAGAGGGTCAATGATCAGACCCTCAGGAACAGCAGCCTGATACTTCTCCTACGGACCAGTTGTCCTCGTCTCCAGATACAGCTGTAATCCCAGGGGACACATCACCTTCAGAAGACCTTAAACAATTCCAGGAATTGTTTAAGAGGGTTGCCATGAGCCAGGTGGATCAGTTTATGGAGGTTTAGGACAAGCAGTACCGCCTCCTCAAAAATCTTCAACCCTCCCAATAAGCTAAGATAGGGTTGCTGATAGATGAGACGATTATGGAAGCTGTCGAGGAGATCTGGAAGACTCCGGCTTCTCCCCACTGACCAATAAGACAGCAGACAAAAAGTACTTTGCCTTGGCTAAGTGAATGGAATTTTTATTTTATTTTCTCCAGCCCAACTCCCTGGTTGTATATGCAGCGCATCACAGGTCCAAGGCTCCCCGGTATAAGAATGTTGCATCTGAGAAGGAAAGTAAACGTATGGACCTGTACAGCTGAAAAATGTATTCCTCTGCGACGCTGCTACTCTGTGTTGCCAACTATGCTGCACTCTTGTCAAAGCATGACTTCGACAATTACACGAAGCTCACAGCACTCACGGAGCACTTACCAGACTCAGAGACCGATTCTGAAGTCCATAGTTCAGGAAGCTATGCTTCTGCTAGGACAGGCCTCCTAATCACGTTGAATGTGGCAGACACAGCTACCTGTTCAACGGCTGCCGCAGTAGTCATGCAAAGAGCTTTGTTGCTACAAACTGCTGGAGTCCCACAGGAGCTGCAGAAGAAAGTCAAAGACCTCTTCTTTGATAAACAGAACCTCTTTGCCGAAAAGATGAATGAGGTTCTTCTTTCGAGTAAGATTTCTGTACCATTCTCCATACCCTTGGTATGTACACACCTCCATACCAGCGCAAGTGGTGCACACCTTACCAGAGATGCCATGACTACTCCTATGGCAGACAGCAACAGTGAGGTTTTGATCAGTCACGAGCAAGGCAGAGTGTCCAGAGGAGGTGTAATCAGACCCAACCGCACCTCTAACCAATCATCAAACAAACAACACATTTGACATCTTGGTTGAGGACTCTCAAACCCTTCCTCACCTGGAGAAAAGAAACAGGAGGCTGGAAATCCATACTCAATCTCCAGAAGCTCAACCATTACCTCTGGAGGTAGCGGTTCAAAATGGTAACTCTCGCATCTATAATCCCAGTGTTAGACAACAGGGACTGGTTTGCAGCCCTCACCCTTCAGGATAATTATTTTCACATCACCATCCACCCTGCTCACAGGCACTTTCTTCGATTCACTGTTAGCATGGAGCACTTCCAGTATCATGTGTTCCCTTATGGCCTTTTCCTCTGCACCCAGAGGGTTTTCAAAAATGCTTGCAATAACAGTGGTGAACCTTCGTCAATGGGGCATTATAATCTTCCCCCATCTCATAACGACTGCCTCATAAAGGGCCCATCCTCGGCAGAAACATACAATATGATACTTGTAACCAGGCAGACTTTTGAATCTCTCGGTCTGATTATCAATGGCCAGAAATCCACATTCGAGCCCTCGCAAGCTTTGGAGTTCATAGGCGCTCGCCTCGACTCCACCACAGCATGAACTGACTTATCTATGCAGAAGTTCCAAGCTATCCAGGACCTTGTTGCGGTAGTTACGAGCCGTACAGTTCCGATACTTATATGCCTACAACTTATGGGGCATATAGCATCCACAACCTATATAGTCCACCATGCATGACCACACTTCCGCTGCCTTCAGCACTGAGTAGAGCCTGTGTATACTCTGACAGGCTCCCTGCCCACAAAAGGGTGGCTCCACCATCCGATGTTTGCGTGGTTTGGTCCGCCATCTGAGGGAAGTTCAATCTCCTTGCAGGAATCCCATTTCGTTTGGCCTCAACCTTCTGCCCATATTACTATAGATGCCTCCTTCATGGGCTGAGGTGTCCACATGAAAGGCATGTCTATTCAGGGATGATGGTCACCACGAGAAACAACTTTCCACATAAACATCCGGGAATTCAGGGCAGTCTTCAACACCTGCAGACATTTCCAGGCACATATTCGCGACACCACTATTAGAATACCCAGTGGCCACATTGCCACAATGTGCCATATAAACTGCCAAGGGGGTGCTGGATCCTGATCCCTTTGCACAGAAGCAGTGTGCCTCTGGAACTGGTGCATTCACAACAAGACCAGTCTAATAACATCTTTCTTACTTGGCAACAATGCTGCTGCAGACTCCCCGAGCAAACATTTTGCACCGAACCATGAGTGGGAACTTCAACACAACATACTCAAATGTATTTTCCATCGCTGGGGCGATCCACTAATAGACCTCTTTGCCTCCTACAGAAATACAAGTGTCAATATTACTGTTCCAGAGCAGGAATTGGTCAGGGATCCATAGAAGATGCCTTTCTTTTCATCTGGCAGGGGGGGGCCTCTCCTATATGCATTTCCCACATCATGCTCATTCCCAGGATCCTTGAGAAGATCAATAGGGATGGAGCCAGTGTGATTCTCATAGTGATCTCCTGGGCTCTCCAGTCCTTGTTTACTTTTCTTTACCAGTTGTCTCTGCATTCGCCATATGCCCTTCCCACTTCTGCGATCTACTGATCCAGGTCACCCTCAGCCCCAACCCCTGCACTTGACTGCTTGGTTCCTAGTTGGTTCTGTGGATCTCTGCTCTGCACAAGTTAAAGAGGTCTTCATGCTCAGCAGAAAGGATACCACTTGCTCTACTAACCTCCATAAGTGGCATAAGTTTGTCTCCTGCTGCACGTGTTGACCCATACACAGCACCCCTTCATCAAATCCTGGAATATATCCTCTCCCTAAAGCAGTCAGGACTAGTTATTGCCTCGCTCAAAGTACAACTCACGGCGGTTACAGCCTTCCGATATTCTATAGACAGCACCTCTGTATTTACCCATCCAGCTACCAAGAGGTTCCTAAAGGGGTTGACCAACTTTAATCCACCTCACAGACCCCCATCTCCATCCTGGATCTTGGACCTAGTCCTAGACACCCTTACTCCACCACCTTTTGAACCTTTGGCCACTTCACCACTCCCAATGATGACACTCAAGGTGGTTTTTCTGCTTGCCATTACATCTGCGCGCAGAGTCAATGAACTTGTGGCTTTGATGGCAGTACCGTCAAACAGAGACAATGTTATTAACAGAGACAATGTTATTCTACGCCCTCACCCAGCCTTCATCCCCAAAGTGTGCTCTGAGTTCCATATTAACGAACCAATCACCCTTCCTTCCTTCTATGCCAAGCTCCATATCTCTCCCCGAAAGGCAACCCTCCACGCCCTTGACATACGCAGAGCACTCACCTTTTACATAGGTAGAACTCAAGCTTTCCACAAGACACAATGCTTACTGATCTCCCTAGTGAGGGAGAAACCAGTATCATCTCAGCGCATCTCGAGGCTCATAGTTTCGTACATTAGCACGTGCTACTCCATGTGAAATAAGCCGCTTCCAACAGAATCCAGAGCTCATTCCACAAGAGCTGTAGCTACATGCACAGCTTTCCTACTAGGAGCTTCCCCATGAGACATCTGCCGTGCAGCCATATGGTCATCTAATGGCACTTTCATGAAGCATCATGCGATTGTACACTTTTTGGCTGCTGACTCCTCATTAGCC